CAGCAGCCCCCCCCCATCTCACCCCATGCCTCCCCTGTAGCTCCGACAGCCGTTGCTGCCTTATCGCGTCCAACTCCGGGTCCGCCATCCCCTCCCAGACCTCGCTGCACGTTCCGCCCCGCCGCCGCTGTACTCTACGTCAACACGCACGACGCCGCCGCCGCCAGACATTACTAATAGCGCGCGGCCAGCCCGACGAATCAAGCTCCGGTTGCCATGGGAACGCGTGATGGACCTTAGTGCAATGGAGAGCTCGCAGAAGTAGTCTATGTCCTCAGTCAATGGGCTGAGTCTATAAGGCGGATCTGTGTTCATGTCAGTCATGTGCAAGGCAGAAACTTCATAAAATGTCCTAAAATTCTCCTGCACATGGCTGGAACATCAAAGTAAACACGAATTCCCCTGAACATTCGCTTGCAATGGTTCCTTTTCAGGGGTGGGCCTAGTGTCAGATCCTGCACCCTGCTTGAAGGGTGTTCACCCTGGTCAGCCTTCATTCACATATAGCGTTTGCGCTTCCCACGTGGTTTTCCGCACGGCATGCAAACTCTAAAATCTTCACAACTGCATGGATTCCGCTTGTTTGCGGCTATTACTATAGCGGAATCCGCCATAAAACCGCGCTTTTACTATTTTGCAGGACGACAGGTTTCGTACCGCGCGGCCGCCGCAAAAGTCTGAACAATGCATATTAAAGTGCATTGTTTTTTCTGTTTAGAACGGAAAACCGCTCCTGTGTGAATGGAGCCTAAACCGGTGTCCGGTACTGCATTCAGGTCATTCAGGGGACAGTATACATGATAGCTGCGGAAAAATTTGGTTCGGTTCGGATATTTTGTTATTTCAGGATTCGGATCCAAAATTCTATTCGGTTCGGATTCTACGAAATCCAAATTTTTGTTAGTTTTGGATGAGTTTACGAATATTCGTTGCGAATATCACAGAAAACCATATACAGATATTAATACTAAAGCTGAATCTCCCAGATCAGAATGGCATTGGGATCCGAATTTCCGAATTGCATTCGGGAGCTCCCTAATGCCATTCGGGTCTAAGAGCCTCAGCTTTAGTAACATATGTATATGGCTCCCAGACCCGAATGGCATTCGAGAGCTCCCGAATGCAATTCGCAAATTTGGATCCCGAATGCCATTCGGGTCTAAGAACCTCAGCTTTAGTATTATATGTATATACTGTATATGGCTCCCATGTTGCCGTAACGAAAATTTGTGTTCAGACCCATTCGGAGGCATTGAACCGGAATAACACATCTGATTGGCCAGAAAAGTCACATGTGCCATTCAGTTTAGTTTTTGAATGAAATTCGGACGGGATCCATAATTCGGAAACCGACATTCGGATTCGGACATATTTGGATGCATTGGGTTAGTAAATTCGGATGTGTACAAATTTCCGAATATTGATTCGGATCGAAACGAATTGCACATGTCTAGGGGACAGTGGAGGAGCCAGCAGGCAATATAAATCTCCTATGTCACTTAGTGAGGTTTTCAGCCATATTTGGGCCTTTGCCAAGCTAGGAGCTAGTAATGAGCTGAATGTGCCTGGGGTCAGTTCACCTTGGACATCCAAGCAATCCAAACCCAGGGCCACCTGTGTCCTAGCAACCAATGACGCTGAGTGGCCCGCGTAGTGTCATTGGTTACTAGGATGCTAGCAGCGGGGCCAGACAGTATCATTGGTTGTACCAATACAAACAGTATTGGTATCACACCGGGGCATTTCGTCTAGCATTTTTATTAAGCGCTGAAACACATGCAAATTAAAAAATCCCATGTATTCAAATGGGGGGGCGTTCACGCAAATGCTCTGAATCGTGTGTAAAATTACACCTGGTGTTTGAAATCTTTTGCTGCACTTATCAGCTCATTTTGCTCCATAGACTTTAATGGAACCACGTTTTTGCAGTTGAGACTGCTTTTCATTGGTCAACTAAAAACAAGCTGAAAATGCGCCTTAAAAAGCTATTATATATATGAACAGAAAATGCCTGTAAAATGTGCTGAAACGCAAAAGCGCGCTATAACAAAACCAAGCATAAAGTGTGCTAAAATGCTGTGAGAATTGGGTCTAACAACCAATGATGCTGTGGGGCCCCTGTGTTCTAACAATGATGCACTTGTTTTTGGTTGCAAGGACACTAGTGGCTGGGCTGCACTGTGTCATTGGTTGCTAGGACACTAGGGGCTGGGCTGCACAGTGTCATTGGTTGCTAGGACACTTGGGGCTGGGCTGCACAGTGTCATTGGTTGCTAGGGCACTAGGGGCTGGGCTGCACAGTGTCATTGTTTGCTAGGATAGTGTTTGGGCTGCACAGTGTCATTGGTTGCTAGGATACTAGTGTCTTGGTTGCACAGTGTCATTGTTTGTTAGGTCACTAGTGTCTGGGCTGCACAGTGTCATTGGTTGCTAGGCCACTAGTGTCTGGGTTGCACAGTGTCATTGGTTGCTAGGGCACTAGTGTCTGAGCTGCACAGTGTAATTGGTTGCTAGGACACTAGTGTCTGGGTTGCACTGTGTCATTGTTTTTTAGGACACTAGTGTCTGGGCTGCACAGTATCATTGGTTGCTAGGCCACTAGTGTCTGGGTCTCACAGTGTCATTGGTTGCTAGGACACTAGTGTCTGAGCTGAACAGTGTCATTGGTTGCTAGGACACTAGTGTCTGGGTTGCACTGTGTCATTGTTTTTTAGGACACTAGTGTCTGGGCTGCACAGTGTCATTGGTTGCTAGGCCACTAGTGACTGAGCTGCACAGTGTCATTGGTTGCAAGGCCACTAGTGACTGAGCTGCACAGTGTCATTGGTTGCAAGGCCACTAGTGACTGAGCTGCACAGTGTCATTGGTTGCTAGGACACTAGTGTCTGGGCTGTACAGTGTCTTTGGTTGCTAGAATGCTAGACCACAAAAGATCATTGGTTGCTAGGACAAAGGCAGGTGCACCATAACAGCCAATGACACTGTATGGCTGTCTATACCCTAGCAACCAACGCTGTGTGGTCCAGCTACTACCGTAGCATTCTAGCAACCAATGACACTGTGTAGGGCACACAGCATCAATGGTTGGTTACTAGGACACGGACCGCGTTTGTTGAACTGTGAACAGAAATCATGGCTGACCCAAACCCGAAGCTCATCCCTACTCTACCTAGTTTGCTCCTAGCTTGACAAAGGGCTGAATAAGGCTGGAAACGTTGCTATGTGAAATCGGTGCTTTTTATTGTTTTCTACTGCCAGCTCAATGGATCTGACAACCTACAACCTGCAGCAGCCCAACAGTAAGGCTCGGTACACAACAGACCATTTTTAGCGTGCAGTTGGTGTCGCTGTTTGCTAGTGGTTGTTACAACAAAGGCACTGTTTACTTTTTTATGTAACTTTATTGGCAGTGTACAAAGTGTACACTCCATTCAGGTCTCTGCACAGCAGCGTGTTGTGTTGCACTGCGGTGGCCCCCACTTGGAGTCCCTGAACAACGCCTCATTAAAAAAAAAAAGGCACCTGCCATTTTATACCTGATGTATCTAAACACAGCAACACAATGTTATATAACAGACCAGATAAGATGGCTGCCAAACATCACTCAGATATTCTATGCAGCAGAAGCCAATATAACGATGGCAGAGGAGGTAAACGCGGCCCTGTTGCTAGTAATGAATGGTTGCCATGGTGAGTCTGGCGGCTTCAGATGAGAGAAAAGGTGACATTCAGCTTCTCTACAGAGTGCAACATCTCCCGTAAATGCAGAGCCGCCAAATTTGACGATAGCAGTAATACATTTCGTAATAGCAGAGCTTCAGGGAGCAACCAAATCCTACCAAGGAAAAATACAGGGCTGTGGAAGCATTGTTGTCCTCTCCTTAGTATCATTATACAGGATTTATAGAGCGCCAACAGTCTGCGCAGCGCTTTACAATATAAGGAAGACATTACAATCACAATACAATTCAAGACAAGATGGTAAGGAGGGCCCTGCCCCTGAGAGCTTACAATCTAAAAGGGAGGGACCAGTGATACATGAGTAGGGAGCTGTGTGGGGATGAATTGTTTGAGAGCGTGATAGCTCAGTGGTCTGAGAGAGAGAAGAAACAGCCAGGAGAGAGAGAGAAGAAACAGCCAGGAGAGAGAGAGAAGAGACAGCCAGGAGAGAGAGAGGAGAGACAGCCAGGGGAGAGAGATGATAGACAGCCAGGGGAGAGAGATGATAGACAGCCAGGAGAGAGAGCAAGGACAGACAGCCAAGAGAGAGAGCGATGATAGATTGCCAGGAGAGATAGCCAGGGGGGAGAGCGAGGGAGGAGAGACAGCCAGGGGAAAGAGAGGGAGGAGAGACAGCGAGGAGATAGAGAGAGGAGAGACAGCCAAGGGAGAGAGAGGAGAGACAGCCAGGGGAGAGAGAGGAGAGACAGCCAGGGGAGAGGAGAGACAGCCAGGGGAGAGAGAGGAGAGACAGCCAGGGGAGAGAGGAGAGACAGCCAGGGGAGAGAGGAGAGACAGCTAGGGGAGAGAGCGAGGAGAGACAGCCAGGGGAGAGAGCGAGCGGAGACAGCCAGGAGAGAGGCGAGACAGCCAGGAGAGAAAAGACAGCTAGGGGAGAGAGCAAGGACGGACAGCCAGGAGAGATGCGAGACAGCCAGGAGAGACAGCCAGGAGAAAGCGGAGAGACAGCCAGGAGAAAGAGAGACAGGGGGGACAGCCACGAGAGAGAGAGAGAGAGCGAGGGGTGACAGTCAGGAGTGAGCTCAAGGAAAGACAGCCAGGAGAGAGAGTGCGGAGAGGCAGCCATGAGAGCGAGGAGAGACAGCCAGGAGAGAGAGTAGGGAGAGACAGCCAGGAGAGAGAGCAAGGAGAGACAGCCAGGAGAGAGAGCGAGGAGAGAGAGTAGGGAGAGACAGCCAGGAGAGAGAGTAGGGAGAGACAGCCAGGAGAGAGAGCAAGGAGAGAGCATGAGGAGAGATACCGAGCAATACATCAGCCTGAGGCAGAACCCCTGTGGACTTCAAGACTTTTCTGCACCCTGTGTTTCAGACACCTCCTTGCTCCGAGAGTTCCAGCTTCCCTCCATGATCCATGCCCCCGTCTGCCTGACATCTTGTGTCCGGGTTTCAGCTGACCTGACACCCGGACACAACACATACAGGACTGAAAACCCGGACTGTTCGGGTAAATCGCGGACAGGTGGCATCCCTAGCTACACCCCTGGCTGCTGCTGACCTGATGGCCCCGGTACAGAAGGGCCAGCTCTCCCCCCCCCCATCGGCCGCCCTGCATGCGGGCCAAAAGTAGCCTGTCCGTGGGCCGGTACTTTGCGACCCCTGGTGTACAAGGTCGAGAGTGGAAATTGTGGAAACGTGGTAAATGTTTATTTGAGATATGAAATTAATGTTTTGTTTGCCCTGACATACACTTTAATTGTTATATATAAAAGGTGACTTTCCTTTACATACATTCATGGTTACATTCTGTATGGCAGTGACAGTGCTGCAATGCTATTCTGCCATATTATATACAAACAAGTATTTATCCTGTGACCAGCTCTGGCGCTCC